TAGAGTCGCCATCTAGTGGAGGTGCTCATTAGTGCTTTCGTTTTTTTAAATACTTCTTCATTATGTCTGTTTAATAAATGTCATTCTATTCTAAGATAAAATTACCTGTCTTTGATTTTTTTTGGTAAAAAAAACACCTTTACTTGTAACATTAAGATTACAAGTTATTGTTGGTTAAGTTATCTAAATATATATAACTCAAAGGTGACTGACTGACATAGTGATCTATCAACGCACTGCTCAAACCACTGGACGGATCGGGCTGAAACTTGGCATACAGGTAGATGTTATGACGTAAGCATCCGCTAAGAAAGGATTTTGATCAATTCTACTCCCAAGGGTATAAAATAGGGGATGAAAGTTTGTATGAAACTTTGTCAAGACCGATTTTTCGAGCAGACCAATCTTCACTACGTCCTCAATCCAAAGAGCGCCCTTCCCTGCGTCCTCAATTCAAAAGGCTGCCTCCTATGCTTCACAAGAACCTTATTGCCGATACTGTAAAACCATCGGACATGATATAAGCGTTTGCAAAAAGCGAGAGTTCAATAATAACCGTTTCAGGGTGTCGCAAGCCTCTTCAAACAAACAAAGTACTATAGGCCCCCTCCACGTGTGCACTATGTTGAAGAAACTGACCAAGATGATAACCGAGGCGAAGTAGATAACTCAAACCCGGATTTAAACGAATAAAGGGCTCCCGACGGTGTCTCGTGAGCCCAATGCATCCTTCCCTATTATTAGCCAACCAAAACGACACCAGTTCCCATATGACTTCAATAAATTTTCAGCACCGACAGGGTATCCAGTCCCAAACCGAAGGCCATGTCACTACCCATTCTCACGCCCGCCTACAGGGTATCCAACCTCAAACCGAAAGCCATGATGAAAAGAAATAAATGTAACAAAATAAGACAGTAAACAAGAAATATATAAAAATTGTGAAAGTATAATAAATAAAGAAATAAAAGTAATAGAATAAGTTGTATAGCATGTAAAAATTAAGAAGTAAAGAGAAAGAAACAAATGTAAAATCAGAACACATTTAATAAAACATAGTTTTATAAGAACCCAAACACCTTATCCCATATTCCATAAATATAAAAATAAATAAGATAAAAAAATAAAAGTAGAATAGGAACACATAGTAGTATAGGCGGGTAATCCCCCCGCAAAAGCATAAAAGAAGAAGAATGAAAGTGTCGAATGCAGTATGGAAGTATAATAGGTAAAAACGTGAGAACTGGTATGTATGACAAAAATAGTAAAACAAGGGCCTGCTATAAAGTGGGGACAAGTGTAGGGCCTGGCTGTATTGTAGGCCGGGCATGTATAAAAAAAACCGAAAGCCATGTCACTACCCATTCTCGGGCCCACCGACAGGGTATCCAGCCCCCAAACCGAAGGCCATGTCACTACCCGATCTCAGGCCCATCGACAGAGTACTCAGCCCCAAACCGAAGGCCATAATCCTATTTAACATATTCCCAAGGACACTGATGCTAAAATATATGAAGTTAATTTAGATACCACTAAAAGATTATTACCACATGTAGTCCTTAATTCACCAGTGTCCGACATCCCACTATCCTTACTTGTTAATTCAGGATCAGCCATATGTCTACTAAAGCAGTCTAGTATTCACAAAACCCAAAAACTCATAAAAGAACCAATTAAACTTAAAGGAATAGACCCTGGTGACGAACCAACCCTAACAGAAGGTCATTTCAATCTAAAGCTCAAATTGGATGAAAAAAATTGTACCCTTTAAATTTCATGCCATTAAAAACATTAACTTACCTTATGATGGAATCATAGGTTCAGATTTCCTTACCATTTTTGGCTGTAAAATTGACTATACCCATGATAACCTTAAAATAGGGAAATATGATGTTAAATTACATTTTTTCGATCCATTCTATATAATTCCACCTCGCACAGAAACTGTAATTGAATGTTCGGTTCAAGATACGCGACTGAAAGAGGGAATAATAGTAGACCAACACATATCCGAAAATCTTTTAATCTCTGATTGTATCGTGAAAGTTAAGGACCATAATCGAGTAAATTTAACCATTGCTAATACTTCTGAATCTGCTTTTAATATCAATCGAAACTTAAACCTCATCATAGAACCTTTGGGTTCTGCCGCATTTCAAATCAATACAATTATGAATACCGCATCAAGAACCTTTGAATAAAGACAAGACTAATGCTCTCCTAGAACTTTACTCCCAATACTCAGATATTTTCCATCTACCTAAGGACCAACTAACACATACTTCCACTCTTAATCATCAAATCAAAATAAACAGTGATATTCCAATCCATACAAAGTCGTACCGCTTTCCAGAGTGTCATAAGAAAGGAGTGGAAACCCAAATAAATGAAATGCTCAATCAAGGCATAATAGAATCCTCATCTTCACCTTGGAGCTCATCCATTTCGGTAATACCCAAAAAGGCAGACTCTCTAGGTCATCGCAAATAGCGAATAGTTATTGATTACCGCAAATTAAATGACGTTACTGTTGTGTGCGACACTCAATGTTAATTTATTTTCCATAGGTCGTTTCTTGAGTTCACTGATTATAAAATTAAAACATCACACTTGTAAACATAAGAAAGAATTTATTACTCTTACACACTTTGTGTTACATTAGTTTAATTTATAATTATGTAATATTTAGCCGTTAAGACTACTTAATAATATTTTATTTAATATTTGTGGCTATAGCCCACACGTGTCTCAAAATCAAGAAGTTTGAGAAGACCGCCAAAAACGGCAAAACTTTTTAAATCTATTTTTTGCTATGCAAAAGAATTTGTGTTCATTCTGCATTGAACAGTTACTATCGGTGAAACCTATCCTATGCCACAAATATCCGAAATCCTTGATCAACTTGGCAAAATATACTCCTTGATCTAAAATCACACATTTCTAATCTTAAAGCCGTTTTCAGTAGATTTCGTAACTTTAACCTGAAATTAAAACCAGAAAAATGTGAACTCCTGCAAACTGAAGTAACTTACTTGGGTCACATCATTGGTGAACATGGTGTTAAACCAAACCCTGAGAAAACAAAAGCAGTAAAAGATTTTCCAGTTCCGCAAATATATTAAATCTTTCCTAGGACTGGTATCATATTATCGAAGATTTATTTCCGACTTCGCTAAATTAGCTACACCTCTCACGTCTCTATTAAAAAAGATGCCAAATTTGTATGGCAACATGAACAGCAAATTGCTTTCGAAACCTTAAAAGATAAGTTCACCTCCGCGCCAGTCTTATCAGCCTAACCTGATTTTAGTCTACCATTTCTTCTAACCTGCGACGCTTCTAATTATGCCATTTCAGCTATTTTGTCTCAAGGTCCTGTTGGACAAGATCGTCCAATTGCATTCGCGTCGCGCACGCTTAATAAAGCAGAAAATAATTTCAGCATAACTGAAAAAGAATGTCTTGCTATAATATTTGGTACCAAAACTTTCCGACCCTACCTCTATGGCAATCCATTCAAAATATTGACCGATCAGAAGCCAATGTAATGACTTTTCAACTGAAAGGACCCCGGTTCTTGTCTTGTCCGCTGGCTTCTCAATCTGGAGGAGATTGAGTACGATATTCTATATAAAAAAGGGAAGATCAATGCAAGCGCTGACGCCCTTTCTCGGTTTCCTGTTAATCCCATCCAATCCACTGCAGAAAACTTACCTGACACTAGCCTCACTCAGCCTGCTACCCGGGACCCTGTCCTAGGCTCTTCCGTAACGTCAGATATAACTATCCATGGAATTATTAAACCAAATCGCAAGTAATAAGTCGCATAACATTAGAAGTCCTTGGCGTCAATTTTTTATTTAGTCCTATTAATCTAAATAGCAGTGACTTACCTTCTGTCGGTCTCCTTGAACACAGCGATTAACCATCTACCTCGTACAGTCCAGTCATGAATCCTGCAGAATTCAGGACACTTGTGGAAGAACCAAGTAACAGTAAATAACACTCAAATTATCGAATACAATGAAGACCTTACCGAAAGTAAGTACAAGATAATCCTCGTACCTACTTCCATTGATCTTGATGAATCAAATCCATATCTCCAAGAGATTTTAGGAAATCTAGAAAACCCTAACGAAGTTCTTGAAGCTGAAAAAGAATTTTACTCCTATTACAAAATAGAACTCAATAATAATATTTACTTCGTTTTATTTGCCAGAGTAAACCATTTCGATGTAGCCTCTTATCCAGAAATATTGAGACCATTAAACGTCTACATGACGCTATCGTCACCATCGGAGATATGACAGACGTGAGCATTTCAGATTTTAGAAATTCGTTTGAAGTACATTCCTTTGTCAAAATCTATAATATTCTATTATATCTTTTTCATAATACAAATATCATAATTAACATTTTTCATAATAACATTACCTACTTGACCCACTCCAACCGAGATAAAGAAAATCCTTTTCGACAATCACGATATTCCAATAGCCGGTCATCTGGGTTCTACCCGTATGTCGGTCGCGCGGGGCGCGGTATTGGTGACAGACGTGTTTCTATTGTTCTCCGACTAGTTAAATTTAATCCGTATTGAAATCACAAGTTTCGTCACAAAGAAATAATCAACGTAATCTGTAACTCAAGAGCTATCAAACGGTGCATATTGAAGGGAATAAAGTGAAACAGTTTTTGAATGGTGACCAGTTTTATATTTTACAACCGCCAATTTCATCTTTAAAACCTGCCGTGAGTAATACATCGAGTTAGTCACGGTTCACCGACTTCGTCACGGTTAATTTAACTACATAAAGACTGTTCAAAAGTGATAGTTAATTTTGACACATCTCTTAACGTCATATTGGCGTATTGCGTATAACGTCAGAATACTAGCAACTCAACGGGAAGAAGATCGAATCTCTGCTACGGCAAACATATATATGTTTTTTTATTTAATTTTATTTTTATTCACTTATAAATATTAATTTAAGATCACAATGTCGAACGGTAAAATGTGTGGAGGATGTCGGCGCGTCATAGAGGACAGACGCTTTTTATACTGCGGCGGTTGTAAACAATTCTATGACCTAAACTGTGCAAATGTATCAGAACAGCGCTTCTACAACACTTTCACCAAAGAGCACAGAGAGGCATGGAGATGTGTGCTTTGCAAGAGTGGACAACCGAAAACCGACAACACTAATACTCCTGTTCGTGCTGGTGCTGACGGTGTTACGGTTCAGCGTGGAGCTTCAGTAAGGAGTCCTCAACAATTGGATATTATGTCTATTGTGGAACAGCCAATGTCTCTTAACGACACTACTCACAGTATGAACATCGAAGTTATCGACTTTCAATCTTTTGTGATGGAGATGCGCGCTTTTAGACAGGAGATGCGTGATGAGATTAGGTCAAATCGGTCGAGAATAGAGCGTCTCAGCGAGACCGTACTTTCCCTGTCGGATAAGGTTATCGAGTGCGAAGATCGTATTGTGATGATGAACGAGCGGATTAACAGCCTGGAAAACCGCGTTAGTAAGGTGCAAACTGACACCTCACTCGCAGCATCCGTCGAACAACTGAAAGCGGAATTGAATGACCGTGACCAAGATTTATTATTGAACGACGTTGAAATTTCCTGTATACACGAACAAAAAGGAGAGGGGCTACTTCATGTTGTCACAGTTTTGGCGAGTAAACTGGGTGTTAACTTGGCCCCACAAGACATCGTGAGTGCCACACGCGTTGGTCGGGCGCCTGAGCCGGTGGAAGCTGAAAAGTCGCTCGTAGCCCGCCCGCGCCCCATCGTGGTTCGGCTGGCGCGTCGCGTTGTGCGTGATCAATTGCTGCAGGCGGCGCGTGTCCGCCGGGGTGCCACGACTGAGGGCACAGGACTGCCGGGTACATCACGCCGCTACTATATTAATGAAAGGTTGACAAAAGCAAACAGGCACCTATTCCGTCGGACGCGCGAGCTATGTAGCCGGTTAAACTGGCGATATGTGTGGACGAGGGATGGCCGTATCTTCGTGCGTCAGTATTATGGGAAGGACGCTCCTCGTCTTAGGATCCGCACGGAGGCTGACCTCGAACGTGTTTTTGGCCGAGACGCGGTTAGTGCTGCTAATAATAATGTATCTGCCTGATGGTCCCAAATATGTTTCTATTTTTGATCCGTTGAATTTACATCCATGTCATTGCTATATATTGACTAGTTTTGCTTTACCTATATGTTGCTGTACTTGCTTACTTTTTTTAGCTTTAGTAGATTATTATTTTGAGCAGTGTTATGCTAAGAGAATGAAAATTAAACTAAAAAATACTTTTATTTTTAGCCATTTAAACCACAATGATAAAGTATCGATTGTTTGCCTTAATGCTTTGCTTATAATGTTTAGTTTAAGGCTTGTATATATTAATGCAAGGCGCAGGATTTTGATTTTTAAGATAACATCATTCAATTTTACTTATTGTCATTTGTCTGGTAGTTATTATTTTGTTCTAGCAATTGGGTGTACCGCTGCGATGCAATATAAAACTCATAATGGTCAGCTTCATATAAAGCGTTATAATATTATTATTGCTTGCACCCTACACGGAAACTATTTTACTATAATGTTATTACATATTCTGACATCATACTTGATTTATTATTTTTACATTTTTAATATTTTCTTAATAGTTAATCTAATCTTGACAATTTCATTTAATACCCTATTTATTATCATTAATATTACACTTACCTTGACATCCTTTTTTTGTTTTTTTAATTATTATATAGTATTAATTTATCTAATTATTTTATTAACGACTTTGACCTCGTACTTCATTTATAAACTACAATTATATTATTATATGATATTTATTATTATGAATTTGGACATTAATTTAATTTTAACATATTTATTTTATAAATTACTTTTAATGAATTACTATTTATTTAATGAATAAAATGATTGTGAAGAATAAATTTATTAAGTTAGCTCTTTACAATGCAGGATCGTTATGCACGGGCCATGATGATTTTCTTGTGGGGATGAACCGTTGTAATCCGGATATTGTAGCTATCAATGAGACATGGTTACCAGCTGGTCACGAGGCCCGCGCACCAGTAGTACCCGGTTATCGACTGAGGAACACACCCCGCCCGAAACACATGCGCGGTGGAAGGGGTGGCGGTGTTGCTTTTTATATCAAGCATGATATGCGTGTGCGCTTCTTAAAACACCCCGTAGCTGATATAGAGCAGTTGTGGTTGTCAACACAATTAAACAGCTATCGTCTACTTGTTGGTACTGCATATAGGCCGCAGTGGGTTGGGGTCGATTTGTTTTTTGATGCACTGACGGAGTCTGTAACGAGTTTCTCAAATCATGACTATGTAATTATTATGGGAGATTTCAATATCAATGTGCTCGATATGAATAACAACAATGTTCTAAAAGTTGATGAGTTTTTGCAATACTTGGATCTCAAACAGATAGTGAGCGAGCCCACCCATTTCTCTGTTGCTTCAAATTCTCTTATCGATCTTGTGTGTACTAATTGCAAGGTCAGCGATATTTCAATAACTAATATCACCGGAGGTCTGGGTCACGTGATGGTGAGTTTTGAAGTCTTATTAAAGAAACCAAAAATTCCACCTAGAAAGATTATTTATCGTCCCCTAAAAAAAATTGATATTGATAAATTCAATGAGGAACTTTGTGCGTTGGACTGGGAGTCTGTAGCTGACTTACCAAATGTGGACTCCATGGTTCACCGTTTCAGTACGCTACTTATATCTCTTTTTGACAAATACGCTCCATTAGTATCAACCAAATTCAAAACTGATAAATCCCTACCCTAGATATTGTATTGTATTGTTTCGAGTTGCGGATTATCTTGGGTTTATGCAGCCCAGTATCACTGCGACCATTGCTGATCTATTGTGATCTCCACATACTACAGTTCACGGTCAAGATTACATTCTACAAGGAACTGTAGTATTTTCTTGGCCGTAAGTTCTTTAATATCGTCTGGGTGCATCACGTGCTTTCCCAGATAGATACATCGTTTTCGCATTAGTAACGGGCAATCGGTCAAAATGTGCAAAGGTGTTTCTTCTTCCTCCTTGCATCCTCTGCACATTCTACTGTCGCTGATCCCCATATTGTGCATGTGTCTGTTCAGTCCACAATGCCCTGTGAGTGCTCGTACTAGTGTGCGAAGGTGAGTTTTGGTTAAGTTTAAGGCCTCTGATGCCGCCTTTTTGTTGAAGGTTTTAATCAGGGTCTTAGAGTGTTTCATACCGGGAGTGTTTCTCCATAGTTGAATAGCTGCGTAGTGGCAGTAAGTTTTCAAGGTGAGCTGGGTTAGGCTTTGAGGGATGCCACAGAAAGGTTCTGGTCCGATAAGGGCGTCTTTAGCACCCTTTTTCGCCAGTTTGTCCGCCTGTTCATTGCCCTCGTGTCCAGCGTGCCCTGGAACCCATCGTAGAACTACTTTGTTGTTGTTGCCCAAAGAGTTCAGTGTCTGTTTGCAGTTCTCGACCAGCTTCGATCTAGTTATGTCGGAAGCTAGTGCTAAGAGTGCAGCTTGACTATCAGAGTGGATGTAGATAGTATGATTGAGGTAGTTATTTTGCAGATTGGCTGCCGCACATTCCAAAATGGCGTACACCTCTGCCTGGAATATTGAGGAGTACTTTCCCATGTTCAGACTTATAGCCTTCCTTGGGGCTTCTCCATGAATTCCACATCCTACCTCAGGACCGGATTTGGAGCCGTCAGTGTACCACTTTAGGCTTCCATTTTTCCATACTATACGATTGTTTGACCAGTCGTCCCTGGTGGGTATCTCCACAAGATATGACCTGTGTGAATCGATTCTCGGGGGCATGGTGTCAGTAGGCATCCCCAGGATTGGTATATTGCATATTGAGTCCTTCAAGTACCTCAAATTACCTGACAGCCATGTCTTCGCCTCCATGCTAGTAATCCTGTACATGCTAGCCCTCGCCACCATTTCAATGTGTAGATGTAGGGGCGGCAGGTTTAGCAGAGCCTCAAGGGCTGCAGTCGGGGTGGAAGACATAGCTCCTGTTACTATAAGACAAGCAGTCCTTTGCAGACTGTTAAGTCTTGATATGATGGTACTCTGTGTCGTTTTTCTACTCCAAACCACCGAGGCGTAAGACACCATCGGCCTTATGATGGCTGTGTAGAGCCAGAGGGCTATATTGGGTTTCAAGCCCCATCTATTTCCCGCTAGCCGACAACATATCATCAGAGCTGTTTTAGACTTCTGTATAATTCCGTCTACGTGTGCGTTCCAGGTAAGTTTCTGGTCCAGTGTTACCCCCAGATACTTGACCTCTGTCGAGAACGGAATGAGCCTCCCATTCATGGTCGGAGGCGAAAGCTTGTCCAGCTTTCGTTTCCTTGTGAATGGGACGACCACGGTTTTGCCTGCATTAATCGACAGATTATTGTTTTTACACCATGAGTTAATTGTGTTCAGCGCCCTCTGCATAAGGTGCGATAGCATACTTTGGCAGTTTCCTCTCACTATCACCACCAGGTCATCGGCATAGCCCAGGGTGTCAAAGCGGAGTTCAGCCATCTTATGGAGAAGCTGATCCACCGCAAGAGTCCACAGTAGCGGAGAGAGTACTCCACCTTGTGGGCATCCTCTTGTTGTTGCTAACTCTAGTGAATCATTGAGTAGTTCCATCCTCACTGTCCTACTCTCTAGCATGGTTCTTATCCATCTTACAGTAGTGGAGTCAATCTCTTTATGGACTAATCCTCTTACTAATGTCTCGGTGGGCGTGTTATCGAACGCTCCTTCCACATCAAGAAAAGCAACGAGTGCTATTTCTTTATCGTCCAGTGCCTTTTCAACCTTGTCTATAAGGTTTAGTAGGGCAGTCTCCGTAGATCTGCCGCTTCGGTAGGCGTGCTGGGTATCATGTATGGGTTTGTTGATAAGACTCCCTTGTCTGATATAATTGTCTAATACCTTCTCCATGGTCTTCAGAAGAAATGACGTGAGGCTGATTGGCCTGAAGGACTTTGGTGATGTATAGTCCTTCTTTCCAGCTTTAGGTATGAACACGACTTTCACCTTAGTCCACAGATCTGGAATATATCCCCAGGCGAAACTGGCTCTGAAGATTTTTACCAGATAAGGGATGAGATTGGCGGCACCCCGTTGTAAAAGCACAGGGACTACGCCGTCAATTCCACCAGATTTAAAAGGTTTAAACGAGTTAATGGCCCATTTCACTATTCCAGGCCTAATAACGAGAGCGGCTCTTCTCCAGTCCTCTGGTAGAGGCCTTCGAAGAGTGATCGCTACTGCATTATCAGTAGATCCCGGAAAATGGGTGATAGCCATTAGCTGCAAGGTTTCCTTCTCGTTAGTCGTGAAGGACCCGTTCGGTCTTTTAAGGAGACCTAAGGGACCTACCCTAGATAACTGAAACAATAAAATTTATGATTGATTTGCGTAATAAAGCTTTTGCGAGATTTCGTGAATCAAATAATGAGACACATAAACTATATTATAAAAATCTCAAGAGTGTAGTTTCTACTGCTATTGCTAATGAGAAACGAGCATACTTTGATAACTACATTAACTCAAATACAAACAATAGTAAAGTATTTTGGAAGAACTTAAAGGAGAAGATCTTGCCTGATAATGCTAAATGTGATAGCCCACCAGATTGTTTTGGTGATCCAAATACTATCAATGATCACTTCTTGAAAACACCTGGGTTTGGCGAAGTCAGTATATCGCAACTTACATATTATGAATTTTACCGATTTAATGCTTCAGCCCTCCCTTTTAAGTTGCATACAGTCACTGAGGCAGATGTCTCCGGGTATTTACTATCTGTTAAATCAAATGCAATTGGTAGTGATGGTATTAGCAGGGACATGGTTTTGATGTCTCTTCCCCGAACTCTATCAGTTATCACTGCTATAGTAAACAAGTCCATTATGACAGGCGTTGTTCCTTCTCAATGGAAAACTGCCCTAATATCTCCAATCCCTAAAATCGAATCTCCAACCGAGCTGAAAGATCTTAGACCTATTAGCATTTTAACCTTTCTGTCTAAAATCTTGGAAAAGGTCATCTACGGTCAATTAATAAAATACGT